GTCCCACTCTACACTGCACTGGTGTGGCCTCGAGAACTGTGTGCAGTTTTGGGTGCCACAGTACAAGAAGGACGTAAAAAAAAGAGTGTCCAAAGGAGGGCAACAAAGATGGTAAAGGGTCTAGAGGGGAAGACATATGCGGAGAGGCTGAAGTCCCTTGGTTTGTTCTGCCTAGAGAAGAGGAGACTGAGGGGAGACCTCATCACGGCCTACAGCTTCCTCACGAAGGGGAGCGAAGGGGCAGGCGTTGATCTCCTCCCTCTGGTGACCAGTGATAGAACCCGAGGGAATGGCCTGAAGCTGCGACCGGAGAGGGTGAGGGTGGATATTTGGAAAAGGTTCTTCACTGAGAGGGTGGTTGGGCACTGGAACAGGCTCCCCACGGAAGTGGTCACAGCACCAAGCTTGACTGAGTTCAAGAAGCATCTAGATAACACTCTCAGTCATATGCTCTGATTCGGCTGGGCCTGTGTGGAGCCAGGAGTTGGACTCCATGATCCTTATGGGTCCCTTCCAACTCAGGATATCCTATGATCCTATGATTTGTAGGAAGCTATCTTAAATGCTAGATGCCCTTGATAAGAACATAAAATATGGAATGAACCAACTAGATACTACTTATTACCTAGCATACGTATACAAATAACATCTATCAAACACAGGAAGTTTCAGTAACTCCCACTGACTGAGGGATAAGCATGATTGTGGTCTGGATGCACTTTGCTACCTCATGTGTCACCAGTTTGTTAGCAGAACCATCAGGAATGAGGTATTCTCCTTTTTGTTCCTGCTTTGGTCAGAAAATGCTGACCTTTTAAAACTCAACTTTGTGAATAAGCAGATTAATTTTGAGAAGACAAGTTTTCTTATGAAGCCAGCAGAAAACTAACCTAACAACAACAAAATTGCCAGCTTTGTCAGTAGAAATATCTGGACAGTCTGTGGACTTGCGCTTTCTACACAGCTGGGAGATCTCACTGTTCACATTTTCTGTGAATAAACTTGAGGTTCAATTTCATCCTACTAAAGGAAGGGAACACTTTTGAAATCTTTTCGCTCAGAAGAGAAAAGTTTTCCTCCAAGCCACACCGTACCCCACTTTCCAAAGTTCTGCACTGTCCACGTTCACCAGCATCAGAAGGAAGAAATACGGCAAGAAAAAGGGGCAGTGATGACAATTGATTTAGCTTTGCAGAATTTTTGCTAGGCGCTGTATGTTTAAAATATTACACTGTGTCTGTTTATGTCAAAGCTACACCTTCTAAGGTGCCAAGCACCTTCAGAATTGGCTTAAGCACACACAAGCCCATTGAAACCACTGGGGAAACTTACATAGCAAAAGCTAAATTTGCAAGTTTAGCCATCAAGTTTCTGGGAAAGCAAGAGTAACAACATTTTTTTCTAGAATCAGACAACGCTAAAATCAACAAGCTTCTAATTAGAGATTCTGAGCATCTCTTTAATGTATGCCAGTAATAACAGACAACTCACTGCGTGCTAATAATTGTTTTATCTCCATCCAGCTTCACAAAGCCTTTGGCTAAACTGAGGGTTCCTGTAAAGGATTATAAATGCCTTTTTGGCAACTTCGCACATCAAAGTCAAATAATAATAATAATAATAATAAGCAGCAGCAGCAGCAGCAGCTACTTTGAGTCCAGGACACATAAATAAATAAATCTGTATAAGGAGGACTTCCAGACATTTTGAAACTATAGTTAAATCTCGTAAAAATCACGGTGTGGTAATTCAATACACAAATGCTCATTGCTGAGATATCTTCTTGAAGCCCAGAGAAGCTGAATTAATTGTTTCATTAGTTTACTGTAGTCTGTAATTCCTAGCTCCAAATCTCTTCTATTCATTGTCTATCACCATGAGACCTCAATCAAATCAGCATGATTTATGAAAAACAGACGAGGAGACTGCAATATACAAAGCGTCTTTTCTTTACTAAATGAGCTTATATGACACACTTCTCAACCCCTAAAAATATTTCCAAATGAAGTATAGTTCATTACTGTGGGTTTTATTATTTTATCTATTCCAGTAGCACTTCAATACTTTTTTGAAGAACAGTAGTATAAGTATTCAATGTTTCTATTACAATAGCTCCTAGAAGTCTTGACCACATTATTACCATGTTATTACCTTGACCACGCAATACACATGGATTCTTGGGTTAAAAAAGACATAAATCTCATCTACTGAACAAAGCAGACAGATAAAAGAAAAGAAATAAAGACATCTGTTTAGTCTTTCTACGGTCTGATTGTTTTGTAAAAGAGTTGAGCAAGATATTCAAAACTGCAGAAAAAGCCTATAGTTAACCCAGGGGTTGAGCCCAGATTTCTGGGAGACAGATGTATTTTCTTAGTTGTATGGCTAGTTCCAGGTTTACTGGATTTTTCTTTTTATTATATTGCATAGAATGGATCATAGCAAAAAGCAAGAGAAATACAAAAAGTATGTATGCAGTAATATTTCCATTGGGTAACCTATTCAAAAGAAGATAAAATTCTATGCCCAAATGTCAAAGGCTTATATATGTGTGTGTACATGATTTCATATATATACATATACATATATGTACTGTATATATATACACATCTATATATGACTGCAGAAATTATGAAGCCAGAAATCCAATTCCACCTGCTATATTGTGTCTAATCTCACCGTGTTTCTTTCTATATCTGCTTTGCTTACATAGAAGTATACATATATCCCTCGATGAGTAGCAATGCTTGGGAAATTGAGCTGTTGAAGCATCTTACATGTCCTTTTTCCAGCTATTCACAGGGGAGAAGCAAGCCAATAGCTACTATTCTATATATTTCTGAGGAGTTTGTTTTCATTATCCGATACATTTAGGCTTTTCATTATCCCACACATTATAGTTTTTCTGTCCCCAAAATCTTGGTGTCAAAGAGAAAACAAAGCAAAACAAAAAACTACAACCCACCTGACACCTCCATTTGGTGATGAGGAATCTACTGTGTGATGATTCTTTCGATACTTTATACTTCAAATTTTTTTATTGACGAAACAAAGTAAATGTAAGATGTACTTGTGTCTTAGTTTTCCTTTTCAATTATGGATAATAATTTCATAGTTAATGGTCCTGTTTATGCTATACTTTATGGTTAACTCATTCTTTGATTTGCCTTACGGGCAAGGAATTATTTCAAAGGCAAAAAACCATTGTTTTATAGTTTTATGGTATGCTATTTAGAGTCTCCTATTGTCTAAAATAAATTGACTTTCTGGTAATCACATGATGGTTATATCTTACAAGTATGTCTGGTGTGTTTCCTGTTTTGGGTTCGCTTATCAAACCGAAGAAAAGTTCTCAGAAGCTGGTGGTGGATGGAGAGAGACAGAATTGGCAGCTTTATTACAATTCAATATTTTTTTCTGACAAAGGCATAGGAAAAGAAGAAAACCACATTAAGCATAATAACACAAATGAAGGGCTTCAGAGGAGTCTAACTGCACCAAAAAAAGTACCATCTCCATCCAAGGATATTTTGGCCCTTCTCCGTGGTATTGTAAGTTGAAGTTCATCCCCTTCTTCTAATTTTGCAATGCCTGGCAAAAGATTTGGAATATTTTAAAGTTAATATTTCAAATACATTATTTTCATAAACGGTATTTAAAAAGTCATTACACATCATCTTACAAATATAAGCATGGCTTGTTACTGGTGACAAGTGCTTTTTTATATTTAGGCACAATTTTACAAATTTCAGCCTACCCAGAGCTGATACTTAAAGCCCTCAGTGGAGCTGGACCTACTTTCCACTCTGTACTCAGCACATCACAGTTCACTTAAGTAAACGCTGCAAAAATTCATAACAGTGGCATACCCAGATTCCTCATGTTATGGTGATGTGACAGTCAAGGTCAGCATTGGGTATTGCTAGTCCTAGACCACTCTGTTCCCACGCTTCTGGAGGAGGTCTCATGAGCTTTACCAACCAAATGAAGTTTCCAGACATCAGCTGATCCACTGCAACTGCAGAGCACAGAAGTCTGCTTCCTGCCAGCCGCACATCAGCTGATGTGATAACCAAAAGCACCTCGCCTTCAAGTTGCAGTCACTGAGCTGAGAGCACATCTAACATCTGCTGCGACACATGCTCAACAGCATGAGACATTGCAGTGAGATTTGGTTTTCCAGGTGAAAGCAGAAGGGTGGGAATTTGGGAAGCAGGAACTGTGAAGTGCCGGGATGGAGTAGGGATCCTAGTTAAGAAAGGGTGGGGAGTAATACAAGGGTGAAATAAGAGGATAGGTGAGATTGAAGGTGGTTATGATACCAGAACGTGCGGGTGGAGGGGCAGAAAGTTAAAGAAAATGTTTGGACAGCCTCAGTAGTGTTGCAGAAAAAGTTAGTTAACGCTTGGAGCTAGCAGCTTAAACATTAATACTAGTTAGAGTAGACAAAGCTAGTAGCTTAAACATTAATAGCTAGAGCAGACAAAGCCTATAGATCGTGGCATATGAACTGTAAGGACCGTATCACACCATGCTGAACAGCTCACTACAGAATGGGCCAAAACCAACCTGGGAGGATGTGATATTGTATAAGAAGATGACTACCTAGCAACCGCTTAGTAACGAAACAGTAAACAAATCAAACCCATAAAAAAGCATTGCTTTGCTGTTGGTCCAAACTATCACGTAAGAAGATAGCTCCTAAATATTTTATTGGGATAATGAAATGTGGAATTCAACCCCTAAGTTAAACTGAGTTCTTCAATAAGGACAGTATGTACTCCTTTTGTCTGCTTCGGGCATCTAACTGAAAGCACCAAAATATCTAACCACATGATACAGCCAATGGAGAGAGGGGAATTGTTCTTTTCACCTCAGTTAGATGCATACCCTCCAACTGCTGATACTTTATATAAAACCATATTTTTGGTAAGTATTTTGTAATTTTGCAATTAACCAGATCCATGAATGCAGTCCATTTTCTTTACAACTGACACAATACTTAGTCACCCAACAATACTGATTCTATTTGATACAGTTTATTTACAAACAAAGAAAAGGAAAACGTAGATGTTTACCAGCAGTATAGCAAGAATTATTCGGATAAGACTGTGGCATATTTTGGATGCAACGAAACAATGTCACCAAGCTGAGATCATCACCAAACACGTGGGCCTTCTTCCTCTGTATTAGGTGTCCCATAGCAAATGTTGTATCCGTATATAAAACCTACAGAATGAAGGGGTGCAGACTTCAAACATATGGTATGGAGACATTAAAAATCCTTTTAAAAGCCAGTGCTGAAGCGAATTGAGCTTTCTCACCTGGCCATAGATGAAAAAATATCCTGTTTCTTTGATCACTATTTTATTTCCTTGTTCTTCCAGAGCTGTTCCACGTTTAAAGCTCAGCAGCCAAGGGACAATGCTTGAATCATCTAAAAGAAACAATAATTTTTGAGTAATCAGAAAGAAAAGTTACTTTCTTCATTTTCATCTGCCAACAATTAAAAAAGCCGACTTCTAGTCAAGACTTCTAGTCTCACTAGATGGATTTCCCCACTGAAAAGAGGATATTTGCAAGGGTTGTCCAGATGCAGAGACCTCTTGTTTTTTTCAATTCAGCGACATAACTCAGTTGCTGCTTTGAAGTTAGATAAAATTGGATGGAAGAGTTAATACACGGAATAGTTAGCTAGAAATCATGGAACATACTCTTACCTTTCTGTTGGATATCACTTTTGCTGTCGGCGATCAATTGCAAGCAGGCCTGCAGCACTGCAAAATGAAAGCATTTTGAAATCAAAGAAATATAAATCAGTACTAGAATAGAGTAAGCTTTTGAAACTACTTAAAAAAAAAAGAAGAATAAAGGACATGAAAAAAAAATCTTCTCTCGGTCTCACCACTTATTTGAAAACATAATCTATTAATTTTAACGCAGATCTTACTCAGATGTGCCAAAACAAAATTCATACCACAACATGCACTAGATAACTTTCAGAGATCATGCGGCTAAGCAGGAGGCCTCAGATAGCAGCACAAGTAATACTCACTTGTTTTAATCTCTGGTCCTAATACAACTGAAAAATGTAGCAGTGAGCTAGGAATCATCAGATCAATTAACCTCGTTAATTTTCTACGCAAAAGCTCAAAAAAATCCCCTGACTCTGCCAGCTATGACAGATATCAGATTTTCGATTGATGTTTACTATATTATTTAAAGAAGTTAATTTCCAGTCATAGTTGCTGTAAAATATTAGTCATATATACTGGTTACATGGTACTTTCAAAAAAATTCTCAAAATCCATATATAGGTACTTTCAATATGTTTACAGATACCCACATTCAATCAACCTATACTGAAACTAAGGGAAGATAGAGAAATGACTGTAAATTAATGCGCATATAACAAATAGTTTAGTATCTGTCAAAACCAATGCGTTACTCAGAAATGTACAGACTGGCGACACTAATGAAACTAGGAATTCGATCAGTGAAAAATATTGCAGTATGATAAAATATAGGCTTGCAAGTGAAACAAAGATCGTTTTAAAAAATCTGCTAAACATAAATGTCAAGGAACAGGGTAAAAGGAAAAAAGGATAGTTGCATTTGCTTAGAGCAGACTTTAATGTAAATGTCTTATTCTAGTGCTACTTTGAAGGTTGGAAAAGAGAGTAGTAACATTTACTGTACTTGGCAGACACCAAATGAATTTACTAAGAGTCAAGAGAAGGATATTCTGCCATAGATTGCTGAATCTCCATTTTTGTTTACCTCTTTTCAGGTAAGAAGGCTGTGCATGAGATTTGGCCACTCTTGCTATAATAGGCAGTGCCCTACTCCATGGAATCATAGAATCGTAGAATCATAGAAGGGTTTGGGTTGGAAGGGACCTCAAAGATCATCTAGTTCCAACCCCCCTGCCATGGGCAGGCACACCCTCCACTAGACCAGGTTGCCCAAAGCCTCATCCAACCTGGCCTTGAACACTTCCAGGGATGGGGCATCCACAGCTTCTCTGGGCAACCTGTGCCAGTGCCTCACCACCCTCACAGTGAAGAATTTTCCTAACATCCAATCTAAATTTACCCTCCTGTTTCTACATCTGCCAGTGGTACCCACATGTGCAACCAAGTGCCCAGCAGCACAAACCTCTTGCTGCGCAGCAGGGAGTGAGAGGATTTGAGTAGAAAGCACCCTCTCCCTGTATCTAGGTCTCCTTTCCAGTGGCCCTGCCTGAGTACCCCAGAAGAGGGCTGGATGCTCACCAGCACCCAGCGGTGCCAACTGGCAGCCGACAAAGATTCAAGCGCAACTCTGGGAACGCTCCAATGCCACAATGATCACACAACCTGTGAGCCCTACTTACGTTAATGGGAAATGCTATCCTGCCAGCTCCCGTCGCCTACACTGGAACGTGTCCTTGAGTTCCACTAATACTCATCAATAATGTGCCAAAATCTATAGATTTTCAAACCAAAAATGTAAAGGCATCTGAATTCCCTGCCTTCTGATAAGGAATAGAAAAACCAGGCCAACACAAAATTGAAAAAGGTATTATATTCAGGTCATTTTTTTATCACAATTGTGAGTGACAGAATTTTCTGAAAAAGAAGCTTCCAAATAAAATCAAAATGCAATTTTCTGGAGTTGCACAACAAAGCACATCAGGCATTTTATTTCACAAGGTATTCATTCACCCTCCTTAGGAGCAAAGTGCCTTCCTAGTGAATGGAATTTGCTGATTCCCTAGTATTTCAGTAAACTAAAAAATGTTCTTTCTTGCTTTTAAAAGAACTCACTAGTGTGGCCACTGGATTTTTCACTAAGCAAACAAGAGAAGATTTATTATGATTCACACTGACCAGAGGCTGGGTCCAGCTGGGTACCAACGAGTAGTGTCCACAAGCAGTGAAAGTTATGGCTACTTTAGCAACTCTTGTCAAACCTGCTCTGTAAACTTGATTGATATTCTTGAAACTATCCTGCTTCACAGTTTGCAAGTCTGGATTTATGTTTCAGTTGTTTGCAGCACTGAAATACTGGTCATCATTGCTGAGAACTGCTACACAGTTAATAAAATCAGCAAGTTCAATACAGTCTGAGGTCTTTTTAAAACACAAACCAACAGTCCTTTGTTCTACGGATATCAAATATTCATATATGCTCTAGAAAAATCTGTCTCTTTTTTTGGTGTATGCAGATAGAAATAGGGCTCTACAGAATATTTTCTCCACGGAGAAAAGCAGTGTCATTCATGACAATAAAGAGAATAGAAATTAGCACAGCGGCTGCTTTACCTAAAGCCAGAAAGGACGAATAAAATAAAAAAAAGTGTTTGAGTGATTGAACAACAACATGCTTCAAAAAATGTTCAGAAGCCAAGACTGACACATAACTATTTCCAGTATATACAAGCACTTCACTTTGACCTCAGTGGAACTACATACATTCTTAAAATTAAGTAATTCATTCAAACAAATTCAGAGTAAACAACACTGCTATTAAGGAGGAGATATGGGTATATAGAGTATATTTTCTGGGTAAATTAAGGGATTTGCAGTAAAAAGTTAACATTGTTAAGAAATGTTAGCAATTCTATTCCAAGAAGAATCCAAATCTTTCCTGAAATACAATATCAAGAATATATGCATAACAAAATATGGGTTGAATAGTTACTATCAGTACTGAGCAGAATAAATCAAAAGCTCTACCCGAATGCCCTTCAGGCTAGTGTAAATCAAACCTGAGTATCAGCTTTGTAGTCTAAAGGATTTTCGAGTAATTAATAACGCAAGCAGAATACAGGATTCATAAAATACGTCTTAAAAATGTGTAAAAATATCTAGACTGAGTGTCACCATGAGGTCTAGCTATATAAAACAGAGTGTATCTAGAACAATAAAGCGTACCCCATCCTCTTGTGAGTTCATATAATAGGTTTGCTCTGATGAGCTTTTTTTTTGCTTTTTTTTTTTCCTCTGATTTTAATCGCTTTGCAGGGTGTGGGTGGGGAGAAGAACATTTCAGAGTCGGTCTTCTTCCATGAACAGAACAGCCAATTCTGAAGAAGTCAGAGACTCCAGATGCCTTTAGAAACCACAGCCAGCACATGAAGGGATGTGTTCTCCACCGGTTGAGCAATGTAACCACAATTTAAAAAAAAAAAAAGCTTTTGCAGCAGGATAGAAACACAGCCTTCTGCATATCTGCATGATTTAAGACCTGATATTGGTAAAATCAAATTTGGCCTCCCATGCAAGTTTTTGTATTATTTAACTTGCATAATCATTTTAATATTCTGCATTCTAACTTCATAATCCATCCAAACAAAATTTCAAGTTTATTATCTGTAAACTCATGCATAAATTTTGAAGTTTCAATATCTGAGGCTTGAGACGACTATCACAAATTTTGCTGAAATAAAAACAACAACAAAAATGAACTTTAAAAAACAGACCTAAACCTTGTTTAGGTTCCTTCTTTGGTCTAGGTCTGTTCTCTGTAGACTTCCCGAAACATACTTCAACACTAGATAATTCAATTTATAAATAATATGCATGTTCTTGAAAAATTTGCAGTTCTTCTTCCCTTAACTTCTTTATTCCTTATCACAAGAGATCTTCTTTTACTTTTTGCTTGTGCATTTTTATATACTGGGTAATGTGGTGCTTTTTAATTAAGAGGTCTTTATATGGCATTAGTCATGGATTAAATCAGACCCTGCATTGAAATAGCTTGGTCATTAGTTACAGATATGAATCATATCTTACAAATATCTTTGAAGTATTGGTAGCATTATTTTGACCTTAACAGAATTACCAGTAACATGTTACAATCAGAATAACAAGGAACTCATTCACGAAGAATTAAGAATACTTTATGTTGACTTCTATTATACAGTATAAAGCAGAATATTGTTTTTAACATTACAGAACATTTGATTGCACAATGTTCTGCAATAATACACAACACTGATTTATTTATTCGGTAAGTGGCATCCTTCATGTAAAATTGCAGGCATTGTATCAAGTAATTTTCTATCCTTTCACATAGAAGGGCCGACTTCCTTTTGAGTTAGAGTGTTGTCAGCAGAAACAAAATGAATACTACTATCTTTTCAAGAAGTAGACCTTTCTCTTTTTTTTTTTTTTTTTTTTTTTAAGAGAACTCTTGTATTTCCCCTCTTCAAACAATAAAATAAGAAGTATTTTGAATAATTGGTGAGGGAATTTTATATGTGGCAGTTGGTTAGACTAGTAACAAAAGGTTAGGTTTCTTGATTCAAAAATCACTAAAGTCAAGTTCCCCTTATAAAAGTTCTTGCCATCCCTCTGTCACAGAGATCTAAACCAACAACATACGGAGTCAAAACACTTCTAAGCAACAAAGGTACCAATTTGGCAGTAAGGCAATTATACCAAGAACAATGGCAAAATTCTCACAACTTATTTGCTACGCTTGCACGTCAATAGTTATTTCCCGTGGACGCAACTGATATTGGGGTAGAACCCAGGAACTGCTAGTAAAAAAAAAAATTGCCAAGTCACATGCCAGGTTAGCCTGCCTCACCGCTTTGTGGAATCACTTAGAATTTCTCCTCAGTTCCTTCAACACACACAATCAGACTGGTTGAGATGGATAACCTCAATATACCAGAGTAAATATAGTCCCTGGGTGCTCCAATCTGCCTAACATTGCCTGAATTTGAGTTTCCAGAAGACCTGATGCTCACCTCCCTAGCTGACCACGGGAATCAGAATCCCACAATAATGATTGGAACAAGGCACAAAGAGAGCATGTAAATGAAACCTGACATTTGCATATCGAACTGGCTTAGGTAATGGAACATATAGCTTGTTTCTGGACCCAAGCACATACAGCTTAGAGAGAAACATGCAGACAAGGCAAGCAATAATTGTGAATACGGTATAAAATTCAGGAGATGTTTTTGTTGTGTAGTGATTTTCCTCTACATGCAAAATTCATAAAAAGAAAGACAAATAAGAAAAATTATATCTGTTCTTCTGTGTTCTGATATGGCGTTTGCCAGAAGTGGTTAGATGATCTACCTGCCTGCATATTAATAATATGTGCCTTTCAAAACCACCCATTAACTCCTACTCATTGTATCAAGAGCTCCGGTTCTGACTGCTAACTGTACAGATTTATTTGAAATTGATGCTTGAAATTCATCTCTTCAATCTACTTCAGCTGGAAATTTTCTCAAGACACACAATTTACAACTACTGATGACTAACAGTTTTATGCATGAACACAGATAAATAGATACCCCCCAAAATGTGAAAGAACAACATTGTGTTAGATTTGTTCTCATTCAATTGTCATTTATTTAAAATTCTAATTTGTGGCCACTTTCATGCACACAACATCAAGCAAATAGAAAAAAAAAATAATGGAAATTCCATATGTTCAAGAAGGGCTGTGCTGGGTCTAAAAATAATCATGGGGCATCGATTTCTGGAATTTAATAATTAAAGTTTAAAAAGAAAACAGAATTGAACCACAACTTTATTTATAAATTAAATAGTTTAAATAGTTTAAATATTTACTTCTGCTCTCTGATGAAGCACAAGAGAAGCAATTGTGTATCAGTGACATTTTTAAGTGTTCACTTTCTAAGGAATTGGTCTGTGTTGAAATGAAATTATGGGTCAACAATTAATTATGAGACCATACTCTACTTTGAGACCTTGTTGAAGCAAACAGAAATAAGACAAGAACAAGGCACCTCACTCAACACCCTAATTTATCTGCCACTGTAGCAGAATGAGTGCAGCACATCTGCAGGTCAGTTTGGAGGCTGCCAGGATTCCGGTAGCCAGAAATGGACGCAAGAAGATCAAAGTACAGGGCTAGTAATTCTGGGTACGTGATCAACTAACAGACAGGATTCAGCACCATGAACAACACCATATTCTTTTATTTTACTCACTCACTCACCTAAAACAAAATTTAACATTGACTAGTAGGTTCATGGTCATCAGTGAAATCTGATCTGAGAAAAAGTAACATCTTACTGAACTCTGACAAGTTAATTTGCTGTAATTAGAGCAGGCAAAAAGGTAACCCTGTCTAACAGATGACCTTTTATATAAATGTAAAGATTTGTAATTTACTTTTTTTCTTTTTCATATAAAAAAATATGATGGTCATGTTAGAAAACAGTTTTGCAGTAGGTCAACCTATGTAGCTTTTCCCTTCTATATGAATGTTCATATTCTGTGCTGTCATCCATCCTAAACAATTTTAAAGCCAGCTATATCTTTTTCTTTTTCTTTAAAAAAAAAAGCTTACAGAAATAAGTAGCTTAATGAGAATTTTATGTGAATAAAGGTAAATAGGTATAATCAGAGGTTATGTGCTACCTGATGAGAAGAATCTTAATTTTGCCAGAAGCACAGCTGAGCTGCCCAAAGCCCTCTTGTCCCCCACACACCCTCAACAGCAATAAGAATAAAGGTGGAAGCTACTGGGAAGGGAACTGGATAACTTGCAGAGTACTGATGCTATAACACTCATTTAAGAAAGGACATGCCTCCTTATTTTCAATGACACTTGTGCTTTGGATCACTACTTTTATTTGGGAGATGCTAGGGTGGGGAGAGCAAGGAAGCTCTGTGGTTCCTGTGATAGGAAACAGGCTACAAGAAATACAATTTAAGCAATCTTGTCCTCAGTCCTGTTTGTGAAATCACTCTTAGCTAAGACCCTGAACCAAAGATAACTAATGAAATATAATAAATCTCATTTAAACTTAAGGATTTTGGGTGATGTCCTAAATGAATATTCTCTTTTGAGAATATTGAAGATAAGTAGATTGATTATACTCTAGAACTTAAATTTCATTTAGCTTGCTGAAGCTTAAGTGAAATACATTTCACATTAATTAGTCACTCAAAAGCACAGTTTAAGCAAAGTTTGACTTAGTCTTTAGGTACAAATTACTCCATTTCAACTTCATCTATTAATAATTTAAAATATCAGCTTTCATCAGTTAAAACAATCTAAAAGTATCCATAAGAGGATTGAACTGATTTAGCAACTCAGGAACATTTTTAGTTACTTGGTGCAATTAGAGTATGTATGAAAATTGTTATTACAAAATTCCGTATTTCATCCTATCAGGCATCATTGAGTTTGGAAAGAGAAAAACAAAAAAAGTGTAGGCATTTTATCCCCCAAAGGAAACAAATATATCCTATTAATATTCCAGCATTATAATACACATCAGAGGTCTCTTTTATGGAGCACAGTCTTCAGTGTTCTGAAGGCCATGACAGAAAAAAATCTTACTGGATACATGTCCCTATTAATTTTGCTAATTATATTAATAGATTGTCTTAATGTAGAAATGATGCTGAACTTCTGAATTCCTTGTAAGCTGCCTCTTTTGACAGGTACAAGCCAGCTTTTCTTTGAAAACTCCTACTTCCCTAAAGTTAAGGAGCTTTCTTGTTACTTCCCTCTTTTAGGATGAGCATGTTTTCCCAGAAAAATGACTTGGCATTTTTAATAATAGCTTTCCTTCCCTACTATTGATCAGAGAGAAACAAGCTAGGCATTAGCTTGAGTTGAGACTGATGGACCTAAAGCTGAGCAATCTACTGTCTGAAGGATTTAAAGTTGCCTTACTCAACTCTACCACATCATCCAGAAATACCTCCGTTACAAGAAACAGATTTGGGATCTAATGTTCAAAGTTCAACCTGCAGATAGCATGAATATCTAGCACCTTAGACAGTATGGCAACCATTAGGAGAATATACCTACAGTTAACACCATCCATTCAGCAATAATTCTAAAAACCTTAGTGGGCTCTGGGAACAGGGATCGGCTGACAGAAGACACGAGTCAAGCGCTGCTGCCTTTCTCAAGAGAGTATCCAACTGCACCATCCCAACCCACTCCACTGGCTGCTACTTACCTGTTTCTTCTGTGTGGATGACAGACCTTCTCCCCCTGTTTCTGCTCCCATTCCAGATTTCCTTTTGGAAGCTTTCAGCTGGGTCAGGACCAGGAAGCCTGTTCTCCTAACCGGGAGAAGTGACAGTCAGTGAAAGCAACCTCACGTTTGCTCATCCCCTGCAAGCCGACAGCCACCCCTCCAGCTTACCTGCCTGGCGCCAGCTGCAGACACTTGCAGGAAGGAAGAAACAGGGGTACCCGCTTTATTTTCATCAGGGGACACGGGTGGCCGGTCTAGCAGAGACCTTGCCCGGACCCTGTAGATCAGCTCGCTGCGCAGAGCTTCTAGTTCTGTTTTCAGGGTGATAACATGGTAAAAAGACACTGCTGCAAGACAAGAGGACAGGAGCATTGCAAGCCACAGGAATGTGACAGAAAAAAGTCCCGTGGTGCCTGAAGCAGCACCAGGGGGGGCAGAGGGAGAGGAGGCGGTATCCTTCTGTTGGATGACGTGCACACAGTCCACGGATTTCATCGCTGCTCTTTCCTCACTAAAGCCAGAGGGAGAGTTCAGCTGTCCCCTTCCGAGGTGCAATCCATGTTACCAGTTGCTCTCTGAAACTAAGGGCATCCAGAATAAGTGAACAAAACGCCCAGATCATTTCCTGTCATATGAAGCTGTTGATAGAACCATTAAACTTAATGTACAGAGTGAACGTCTAAGATTCAGTCTCCATTTAGTTTTCTTCTTTCTGTGCAGCATTTTGGAAATGAATACTTTCTCATGAGCTGCTTGCTCAATCTACCTTCCTCCTTTCACTTTCAACTATTTATTTATGTGGCAGCTTGCCATGATCTTTAAATTTAGGCACACCCCGTACCACTGGTAATTTAGAGCCTTATCTAGAAGTGCAGAAACAATGTAAAATTTCCTGGCAGCATATCATCCAGTGCTACTTAAAAGGCATACACATATGACAATATGTGTGCCTCTCTGTGTGTGTAGGTATATAGATGTACTGTGTATATACATCATTTCATATATATGAATATAGAGATATTCATATCTAAAGTGCCTATATGCCTACGGAGGGGACAACCTATTCAAACAAAAATTTTTGTGGTTTCCTGAACACTATAGTGAAAAATATTCCCAGGTATGAGTAATAAATTACTGGTCTCTCAACTGTATGAAGCTGAAGATTCTGCAAGTTAAGTACATCATACTTAAAAAGGGATGACTTTTTATTAAACTTATCTAATAAATATAGTTTCTCCACAGAGTTCAAGGACCTGAATTAATGCAAAAGGGGACACAGGGAAGTGGGGAGAGGAAACTTGGTGTGGGGTGGGAGGCAACTAGAAGAGGTGAGAACTAGAAGATGGGAAAGAATAAGGGAGGGGAAAATAAGAATGAGGCAGGGAAAGGGCAGACGGGTATAGAAGGAAAATAACATTTAGAAATGTTATTAAAATTAAAACAAAACAAAACAAAACTTTAAACATGCATACTTAAGTTTCTCAGGTGAGTTCTGAGTGTCTGGCTTAAGCTCATCTTTTTAAGATTTTACCAGTCCTTTCATCTTAAAACCCTGCATCAGGAATTCTTCTCTGCAGCAGCAAGGGTACCTAAATATCCTAAACATGTCCATATACTTTTTGTGTTGTCTTCTCCCACAGAATTAAAGTTATACTCTTCTGTTAAAAGTTTCAGTCGTCTGGGACAGAAAAAAAAAATAAATATGAAAAAGCATCACAATTAGGTCTAATATCAACAGGTCAACCCTGCCACTGGAATCTAAATTTTTTTTTTACCCTGTAAACAGATTTTATCTTTGCAAGAGAGAGAACTTTTACTGCTCTGAATGCTGTGTAATGAATCGTGATGGCAACGCTTGTCAGAGTAGTTCAGATCAAGTCGATTCTGTTGGGAAGGAGAAAGAAGAAGGAGCAGTAATAGACTAGCAACTTCCGTAGCCTCTCCCACTTCTATTTCTTAAGACTATGAGAAATTGAGGGTTATTATAAGTTTTATCATCTTCCGTTGTGATGCAAGGCACTCTTTTCCTTACTTTGCCTCCTCTAGCAACCACCCAATATCCTGCACAGACAAGTAATTCTTCCTAAATCCAGAAGAAAAAAATTATTCCACATATCTTAACATGCCCCTAGAAGGCATGTACATACTGTGAGAAATGATACAGAAATCAGTGCAGGGCAGAATAAGAGCAGAATACCATACAGTTTCTATATCTATTTGCAAGGCTAAGTTAAGGTGTAAATAGAAGGAATTTTGAAGGAAATTTAAGATGAACCAAGGTAGGTTTTTTTGGAACAGAATAAGCAATTATTAGAACCAAGCAGACATGCCTTGAAGTATCACTAGACATCAGAACATTACCAGCCAAGTACTGACTGTGTTCCAAAAATAAAATGACAGTTGGAAAAAAAAATGCTATTTAAGAAAATTAAACCCAGTATGAGAATGAAAGTTATAACTAGCTATCCAGGAATACTGAGAAAGAATTGGCTGGTGAGGTCTCTGAGGTCATTAACACATAAGAAAATAACAGACAGGTATATAATTAGCATCACTCTAGTCGCTTCTAGAGAAAATAGGCTGTTCCCAGCCTCCATACCTTCTTTAAATGGGGTCATTATTTGGGCTGACAAAATAATTGTGATGACACAGAGGACTTCTGTAAGACATCTGGCTTTGTCTTCCTTATCATTAGGATAAATGAGAATTTCAAAGGGGAGATGAGGAAAATCAGCACAGCGCACACACGGCAAATTGTTAAATTCAACAGATATTTCTAGTTGTGTATCAAAGGGACCACCGTTTGCTTCATAAGCAGTTAAGTGATTTGAAAGAAAATACAATTTTAGACAACTCTTGTGATGACAAAAGCATAGTGGAACAGTCAATGATGACAGTGAGAGATCAGTCATGAAAAACAACAATTGCCTAGAAATATACTAAGTTGAACAACCTCCATTTTAACACAATCAAATGACGCTTCAGTAAATTGCAGACTACTAATTGCATTAAAGTAGAAACTCAGAAAAATGATTTGAAAAAACCCAAAACCCAAATGAAAAAAACCCAACCATGCTAGTTGCAGAACCTAGAGCCTGGAGTCGGTGCCTCGATGCTTGCCACCATGTCTTGTCATAACATACTGTCCTTACGATTCCTCTTATTGGCAGAGCTGCAAAGTAGTCCTTAACCTGCTTAATGTAAAGTCAGTAAGATTATCACACGTGCAGTTTCTTCTGCGTTTTAAACTCAGGTATGACCAAAGAGGACTAAGGAGTGCTCAGATTAGCCTGCCATTAGCGGACATGGGAGGGTGTTGACTCCAGCTGAGCATGAGCTCTCTGTGGAACTTTCGTGTTGATACAGAAGTGTAATTGGAAATACATACTGGAGCAAAATATTAACCAAAAATAAGAGGAAACAGTAACCGTGCTTTTATATCGACAAAACTGTTTGCATATAGTTATGACCACCAAAACCAAACAGTGAAAAGAGTTCAGAACAAAAATCCAAAATGAATATGAGGCCTCAAGAATTCATCACAGACACTGTATCCAGTTTGTGGTTAGCAGCCTGCTTCTACTGGCCAGCTTCTCTGAAAACCCTTTGGCAAAAGTTTGAGCCATAATAACTGGTTTTGGCTCAAGACACACATGCTTTGCTACTCATGCATGCAGTAAAACCTCAGGGCAACAAGTGACCACCTCAAGACCAGTTCAAAGCAGCGTTTTCCAAACTATTTCTAGGAAAGAAAATGCCACTGCACTGAACTGCAGAAACCCAGTCCTGATCATCTAACTCTGGAAGCAAATAGGAATAAACCCTTTCTGAAAATATGGTCCTATTTTGCACAGACAGTACAGCTGATCCACGCCCATACACTGAATCTAACCATTTAGTGCCTCCTTAACCCAAAGAATGAGCTACATTGAACGTTCAGGTTGACTGACTAAGGGACCTCTTTAATTTACCCAAGGAAGACTATTAAGAAATGCCTTGGCTATTCTAAGAATTTTACTTAGCCAACTCTGAAGGAGGGTCAATTTAGATTAGATGTTAGAAATAAATTCTTCACTGTGAGGGTGGTGAGGCACTGGCACAGGTTGCCCAGAGAAGCTGTGGATGCCCCATCCCTGGAAGCGTTCAAGGCCAGGTTGGATGGGGCTTTGGGCAACGTGGTCTAGTGGAGGGTGTCCCTGCCCATGGCAAGGGGCTTGGAACTAGATGATCTTTAAGGTCCCTTCCAACCCAAACCATTCTGTGATTCTATGATTCTATTAAGTCTTTTACTTTTGAGAAAAAGAGCAATCTTTTAGGTAATACTCAAACTAAGAAGAAAAAAAGCCCACTACCACTGAAGACTCTTGATGGTGAGAATGTTTCACTAGGGGAAATGGATTCTTGAACAAAATCAAGGCTGGTTAAACCTTCCAAGATGTTACAGCAGAAACAAACCCTGTAATTTCTGCAAGCAATTAATTTTTTTCATTTCTGTTATGCAAAGTGTCAGATTAAATGATCAGGATGGGCCCTGCTAACCTGAAAATTTATAAAACATCATCACTACATCTGCGGGGAACCAAGGCAGAGATAGTAAGCAATCACACAGGAAATTTGTGGTTGAACTAGAAACTGAACTCTTGATTTCCTGAAATCCAGTACTGTACTTTAACCACAAAAGCATCTTCTTTGAGGGGGAGGAAAATCCCATAATAAAGTTTAACATACAAAAGAGAAGAAGATGATTCGAATCGGAAGACTTGGATAAAAACGCAATTTACTGAAGAAATGTAAAAGTTTACTTAAAAATAAACGTTCTGTTTTTAAAAGGGAGGTTGCGCAGATGCTGCAACCCAGAGATCCAGGCAAATGTCGACGGCCATACTAAAAGTATGCCTCCAGTGGCAAAGGTCCAACTTCACATACTTCTGAAGTAGCCACAAAATGGAACTGGTCCCTGCGGTTATTACGAAAAGAAAAAGGCCACGATAGCCTGCCTTACTACACAAGACAGTGCGAAACAGACAGAGGAGCAAACAATAAGCAAAGGTTCCCTTTTAAGCACATTTCATTTCAAGTCCTTTCTGAAGATGGACAAAATGGATGGACTATGTTGGAGGAGATCAGAATAAATCCTGTATGAGAGTTTTTTGATATTACAGATATCTGCATTAAGAATATTCATAGACAGTACACATTCCCTCCAAGGACACTTAACTAATTCTTTCAGCCATTAACTGCAATTTACACAGTAGCAAAACCAGGTAAGTTCCTGCCTCATAGATGGATCCAAAAATCACTCTATTTTGGATACTCTGCTCCTGTGGCTCTGTATCTTATATCATATTACCTTAAATTTTAGGAAGCTGTCAAATACCTTTCAAGTAAAGGATGTGTTATACAAACTGTTAAAGCCTTATTTGATACATTACCTTGTTAAAAAGAAAAAAAAATTCTACAAGATTTTTCTGAAGCAAAAGAGATATTCTTTTCTCTTTGCCTTCTCATTTCAAAATTGCCCAGGATAACACAAATGTCTCTGCACATTTTAGATATGCCATGCTTGATTTATTCCTTG